ACCAATCAACTCCAATATTCTCACTCTTCAAAATGTCTAATAATTAAGAAGTCAGTTTCTTGAAATGTTTTAGAAAAACGTCTTCTCTGGTAACGCAGTGTTTGTATAAGAATATGTTGTAAAATATGTTGTAAACGCTCAAGATCAAATAATTACCTATGTTGAAAACTTATTGCAAAGGAAAAGAACTTTGTACAGTTGCACATTTGCACGATCCTGGCCGTGACGTCACGTCTCCAAAGATGATTGCGAACTAGAAAAAGATCCTCCAAGAACTGAAAATAGAAAAGGTAATCGTTTACTGGAAAGTCGAAGAGAAAAAAGAATTAAAATAATATTCTTATACATCTAAATAAGGAAGGAGTTCACCTTCTTGTAGTAATAGCGTTTGGACAACAAACTTACCTTTATCTCAACAGATTAAATACACTGAAATTCAATTTGATATCTACACTTCGCACATACAATTTAAGAATCTCATCTTTCTGCGGTCACTTCCCTGATTGTTTGAAAATTTTGTTCCAAATGTATGACTTGTTGTGCGTCAGGAACAGACGGGTAGTTTTTTTTTTCCAAAATTTTGTCCATTAGTGCAATTACTTCCACTTTTAATATTTACATCTTCTATGGAGTCATGGAAAAAAAATACTTTGTCTTTTGTCCATTTCAACAAAACTGCCTGCATCGTCAGAGTCTTTTATCATCACTCGATGCAAGGTATGTAAGAAATGTTACCTTTAATGGCAAACTCTTTAGAGTTACTTCGCTCACCCTTTGATCTTTATATTCAAAAATATGGTTATTTTTGAGTTGGAAACTTAGTAGTTTACGTGAAAGTACGACTAGTACATTAAATTGTACTTAGATAGCTCAACCATGATTAGTACAAAACAATAGAAGCTGTCTCACTTTTCTTCGAAACTCGAAACTTTAAATATAGAACATGGCTTCTCTCCTATGAAAAGCTTTATGAAGTAATTTTGCCGCTCTTTTCATTTCATAATTAGAAAAAACATAATATCTGTTGGATTGCTAGTGTTAGATGTCACATCTATGAGGGCAGCCTATGCAAATTTTTGACTCGATGTGTATTCAAAAAATTTGGGACGTTTTTGACATTCAACCTAAACTCGCATACCTCAGTTCAGAACAAGTATCGTTGGCTGGTATAGGGTCTGATTAATGTTGTGGGTAGGCCGAGTTTTGTGCTTCTAATTTAATTTCTAAGGTTCAAATATGATATCATGATCTTTTACAGTCATGCAAACAATCAGGCAGAGCACGTCTACAGAACTTTACCTTATCCAAAATTACCATATCCCTCACAATCTTAATATCTATTCAAACATTTGCAATGCATGCACTTAGTTGCGATTTCATGACATTTTTGTCAAATTGTTCACTTTATGACATTTTTGTCAAATTTTTCACTATCTTTAGAACTTTGTCCCACCACTACGAGATTTCTAATCGCCAGTATACCATTCGTTGAATGTCAAACAACCAAACAGTTAATTTATAGCAATGTTTTTGCTGCTCTCTAACTTATTCTGATATAGATTTTACTCCGCAATACGCCTTGCTCCTACTGTTTGACTTCTTGAAGATAATGCAAATTCCTAGAATAGAGTTTTTGCTAAAAAGAAATACATTAGTAAAACTGTGATCACAAGAACGCGCGAAACTTTTCGGACAACCTGATTCATACTTAGATTAAGAGATCGACTATATCTCTAATTATCCTAAAATAGATACTAGAATCAATTGGGTACAAGGATGTCATTTAGTTTGTCAACATTTTTATAAGTTTTTATGAGAAAATTTCTACGCCGATTGGAGGTCTCCTGCTCTATGTTCAGCACCTAAAAGCTTAAAGCCAGAACTTGCAGCTGAAGAGCGATATGATGCGCATACTTAGTTGCACACCCAAGTTTTGTTGCATAATTACAAATTTGTAAGGTAAATCCTGCTAAGAATATCAAAATCATTTCACGTATATATACTCTAAAAAAGCGCTTCTTGTTTTCTCTAACGCTCATTCAGGCAAATATTATTGCTGTGCATTGTTCCTAAATTACTTTCGAAGCTGTAGATCTCGCAAACTTTTCTTGCGCAGTTAGCGGCGAGCGTATTTTTTTCCGAGAAATTCCTTCGTCTGCTATCTGGCGAAGCTAGATCTGAAATCCTCGTTTAGTAAGCATTCTGTGTTTAGCGCATGTTAAATCGCGAGCAACTTTTCAAAAAGCGTCAAATTTTGAGGGCTGAAATGTTGAGTTAGACGGCGGCATATGCGCCGAAAAGCCGTCACAGTCGTCATAAGTCGCGCAAATGCTCGTGTCGTACTCGTGCCATCGCTGGCCTCGTCGTTTAGCACATGCAGCATGTCGTCAAGTCGAGCATATGCGGCCGAAATCAATGGCATCTAAAATAATTATAACGCTAATGTTACGAGATTCTAGAATGTTCTTTAGAAAATAATAATAAAGGGTTTTGCAGTTCGAAATCTTAAATTTCTAGCAGCTTTTACTAAACTTTGAATCAATTTCAACCGGTTGCTATGTTGCGAAATTGAGCTATCATGGCAGTTGCAAAGATAATTTTACCCTTACTTGATAGCATGCACCATTTCACCCAAATATCTCGTATAATTGCTTATTAGCCTTTACCATATGAAGTCATTGCGAGAACATCTAAAGATCTCAAACGAGGAAGCTCTCATTCATACGACCAAGGCTCGTGGACTAGAGATTGCCGCTGTTTTGTTCAGGTGCACATAATTTGATGACGTACCTGCGAAGACTCCAGCACGTTGTTTGGGTCAAAGATGAACATAGCGCTAAGCACGGCTAGGAAACGGTCATCAAGCTGTAGGGCTGCCAGTGAATGTGCTATCACAAAGAGAGCACTTATAAGCTCACGGAGCTCATCTAAATGGGAATAGCAAGAGTTCCTTTGAAAAGGGGTTTAGCCATGAGTTGACTCTACTTACCCATATCGTCATTTTCCTCAATTTCAACCACAAGTGTATCAATCAAATCTTGTTGTGTAAAGAAAGTATTCGCGTTCGGCTGGAAGCAGTTCTCAGCTTCGTCAAAGAAGGAGATGAATCTGAGCAGCTGAACTTCCAGCATTGTGTGGT